GGGAGGGAGGGAGGGAGGGAGGGATCGCTTACCGATCTTGTAGAGGACGATCCTGAGAGGCCTGATAGTCCTGACGATGCGGAAGATGCGAACGACGCTGAGCAGCTTCGTGTCGCTCCTCGACGTCACGGTCTTGAGAATGAGGCCGTTGGGGTCGTTGAGGATGAGAAAGGTGTCGGCGATCCCCAGGAGGACGAGGAGGAAGTCGACCTTGCTGAGCGGGTCCTTCCAGTAGGACTTGAAGGACAGGGCCGTGACCTTGAGGATGCACTCCAGCTGGAGGGGAGCAGGAGGAGGGCGTCAGCGGGGAGGGAGAGGAGAGGGAGAGGTTACCAGGAAGATGGAGTTGAGGCAGAGGTTGGAGAGGCGGACGAGGTTCTTCTCGAGGAGGGAGATGTACCTCCTCTCGAGCGAGAGGCAGACGCAGCTGTAGAGGAGGCAGAGGTTGATGAAGCGCGTGAAGGCGGCGGACTGAATCAGCTTGAGGACGGAGAGGCGGAGGGGGTGGAGGGAGTCAAAGAAGCCCAGGGAGTCCGGGGCAGTGAGGACGAGGATCGACTCGTCTGTCTGCCGGATGATCTTGTTGATGTGACTCTGCATCAACCGGCACCTCTGCGCTATGTCCGGCTGCTTCGCCACCAGCGCTCGCTTCTCCTCCAGCTTGACGATCGCCAGCTCCTCCTCGAACATCTCCTGTCGCTTCAGCAGCTGCAGCAGAGAGGGACAGAGTCAGAGGGAAACATGGGGAAGGAGAGAGGTAGGAACGAGGGGCGGTCAGAGAAGGAGGAAGAGGAGCATACATTCTGAGCCAGCAGGCCGCCCATCCTCTTTCTCTCCGACAGCTCCTTGTTGGACAAGTAACGCATGACGTCGGTCACTTCCTCTATTGACCTTCCGTCTACAGCCATCTGACATGTAGCGTTCAGTACATGCGGAGTTGCCACGAACTACAGCTCCTCCTCCTCCTCCTCCTCCTCCACCTCCTCCACCACCACCTACACATACACCTCTCATTCCCCATACTCAGGTGTGGATGACAACTTCTATCTACCACCGTATGTGTACCATCTCCCTTCATGGG